CGTCTAAGGCCACGGCAGGCAAGATGGGCACTGCTCTTCTCCCGCTTTGTGATTCACTTGACATACCGTCCAGGATCAAAGAACAGCAAGCCCGATGCGTTCTCACGCATGTTTCATGACCCAATTGTACCATCCGAACCTGATACCATCCTGCCAGCTAAAAATGTTTACTCCTGCAAGCAGACCTTGTGTCACATATAAAAGAAGTGGTTGATGATCGTCCACCCCCCTTGGAAATGCATCTTCAGCTAAGAGACGGCCTGTATCTTCACAAAGCAGATTTATATACCGGAACAACTCAGAACTCTCATTCTTAAAAGATGTCATGATCATCCTTTAGCTGGTCACTTCGGGATCCACAAGACTTTAAATTTGGTCTCCCGTTCAGGGGCGGACTGACCATTTGGAAACTCGGGCACTGCCCGAGGGCCCGGGGTCAGTAGGGGGCCCCTTGAGATGCCCCTGGTACCTTTTTCATAGGCTTTTTTGAGTTTGGGCAAGGACACAGGGGCCCCATGATCCCCTATTGCCCGGGGGCCCCATGAGTTGTCAGTCCGCCCCTGGAACAGACAATACAAACAGACAATACAAACCAGGGGCGGACTGACCATTTGGAAACTCGGGCACTGCCCGAGGGCTCGGGGTCAGTAGGGGGCCCCTTGAGATGCCCCTGGTACCTTTTTCATAGGCTTTTTTGAGTTTGGGCAAGGACACAGGGGCCCCATGATCCCCTATTGCCCGGGGGCCCCATGAGTTGTCAGTCCGCCCCTGGAACAGACAATACAAACAGACAATACAAACCAGGGGCGGACTGACCATTTGGAAACTCGGGCACTGCCCGAGGGCTCGGGGTCAGTAGGGGGCCCCTTGAGATGCCCCTGGTACCTTTTTCATAGGCTTTTTTGAGTTTGGGCAAGGACACAGGGGCCCCATGATCCCCTATTGCCCGGGGGCCCCATGAGTTGTCAGTCCGCCCCTGCTCCCGTTCCTTCTGGTGGCCAATTTTAATGAAGGATTGTAAGAACTATGTTAGATCTTGTTCAGTATGTCTCAAAACCTGGGGCCTGCTGCTGGAATCTCTGCCAGTACCTGAAAAGCCATGGAGTATGATTTCTCTGGATTTTATTGTAGAGCTTCCCCCATCTGAAGGGTTCACCACCATCTTTGTCGTGGTTGATCGTCTATCAAAAATGGCCCATTTCATACCCCTGAGAGAGACTCCTTCTGCTGCTGGGACTGCTTCTGCTTTTATTAACCTCCTTAGCGGTTTTCCTGAGTGTAGCTCGGGATAGAATTTCTATACCAAGAACGGTAACCCCGAGCTACACTCGGGCTTACCATGCAGCGTTCTCTGGGGGTCCCTGCAGCACTTACCTTGTCCTTCGCTCCCTTATGGGTCCCCTGCAGCGTCCCCGTCCATCTCCTCCGGCGGATGCCGGCATCTGGCTTCCGTGTTCCGGTCCCTGTGACGTCGGAACGTTCGGGCGGCGGAACCGGCGGGAAATTTGAAATTTTTAAAAAATGACATTTTTGCTGTCATTGCTTTTTCACTGCATTTCACATACATTGTGTCCCGAGTGCTTGTCCGGCGCCCTGCCTGCATTTTGACTGTTCTTTCTGCCTGGAAACTTAGAAAAGTCCATGGCGGCCAAAAAGCGTCCCTTTACGTCAAAAGAAGTTTTAGAACAGCGATAGTAAATCAGAACCACTTGCAGAATTGAGTGATAACGATTTGTGGGGAAATTCGTCATCAGACACTGAAAACGATTTTGCGACTTTGCTCAGCGATGTGCGAATTTGCCTCTGTATTTCAAATTTCAGTGTTTTTGGTTTGATTATATTATTGAATTAAATTTATTCTTATTATATTATTATTTTTTATGATTATTTAATAAATTATAATTTATGATTTTGTGTTTCAAGTTTTATCATATCCGGAATGTTTAAGTAAGTAATTACTAAGAATTGCAGGTCTACAATACATAACAGCAAATTTCCATGCAAAAAAATGGTACCGCTTTTGGTACAAAATTCCAGAAATGCCCATAGCGAATAGGGAAGAATGGAAAATAGCGCAGGGCATACATGACTAGGCCCAGAGTGGTGTAGGGAACGGAAAGGGTTAAATTTAGCTCCAGGGGGTGGGGAATTGATTGGGGAATTATAGCATTGGCAGATGTGGAGTGTAGGAGGGGTTTGTGGTACCTTAGGGTGGGGGGTTCTGCGGAAGGGGCGTCAGTGGAGCTGGACGTGGCAAGGACCAGAGCTTCCCTCCCGCCCTCCCTGTTTGGTTGGGTATAGGGTCTCGTCTGGGGGCAGGTGCGATTAAAAAAAAAAAAAACACAAATGGACACCGGTTGGAAAGGGTTTTTTTTTTTTTTTTTTTTTCCATTGGTTCGTGGACGGTTGTTGGTCTTTGGAGGCGGTTCTCATCTTGGAAGGTAAAACGTGGCATGGGGGGCCCGGTGGATATTCCCAGTTAACCAAGGTTTAACTGGAAGGTGGTGGTGCTGCACTGCGGACGGTATGGTTGTCTCCGAGCTGGTTGGTTGCGGCTGGAGGCCTAGTGTATAGGGTTGTCCGCAGGTGCATTTCGGATCGTTTGTGGGTGCCTTTGAAGACCAACAACAATTCTTTGGTTTCCGTTAAGGAAAGGTTGATGTATGTTAAAATGTGAAGTTGTTAATTAAAGGCCATGTTGGCCATTTACTCCAAAAGGGTGTCATGTTTTTTGTAAAGTTTAGTTGGTTAAGGGGTGGGGAGTGGTATGGATAGGTAAAGGTGGAAGTAGGAGTGGACAAGCCTATCTATGGTGCTTGAGTCATGACATAATCATACTGCCAGGGAGGTTAAAGAAATATTGAGATTACATGGTGTTCTTAGCAATATCGTGTCCGATCGGGGAGTGCAGTTCACCTCTAAGTTCTGGAAAGCTCTGTGTGGGGCACTAGAGATCGAACTTCGCTTTTCTTCTGCGTATCATCCGCCAACAAATGGACAAACTGAGAGGACAAACCAGACCCTCGAACAATATTTACGATGTTTCTCTTCTTACTCACAGGATGACTGGGTGTCTCTCCTTCCATTAGCCAAATTTGCTTACAACAATTCCATCCACTCTGCTACCAAACAGTCCCCTTTTTACTCCAACTATGGATATCATCCTTCCTTCCGCTCTGAAATGCTGGTGGAACCCGCTGTCCCAGCAGTACAAAAAAGGTTGGATTTCCTCAGTAGGAACGGCCAAATGCTACAAAAAAACTATTTCAGAGGCTCAAGCAAGTAACAAAAATTTTTTTTGACAGAAAAAGGAGGGGGAATCTAAATCTGAAACCAGGAGATAAGGTCTGGTTATCTACTACAAATCTGAAATTGAGCTGTCCTTCAAAGAAGCTTGGTCCAGGGTACGTGGGACCATTTACAATTAAGAGAAGGATTAATCCTGTGGCTTTTGAATTAATGCTACCAAAAAATATGAAGATCCATCCAGTATTCCATGTCTCCCTGTTAAAACCAACAATACCAAGTTTATTTCCGGGTCGAGATCCGGAGACTCCTGCTCTACTGCTTGTCGAAGGTAATGAAGAATATGAGGTGGAGGCTATCCTGGATTGTAGAAAGAGGGGTGGTCAGACCCAGTTCCTCATCAAATGGAAAGGCTACGGTCCAGAGGATAATTCCTGGGAACCATCCGCTAATGTCCATGCTCCACGATTAGTTTGAGCTTACTTCATCCTGAAAAACAAGCTTTAGTAGGCATCTGGAGGCTGACCCTAAGGGGGAGGGCAATGTAAGGGAATCCCGGTGAGACGATTGGCGAATAAAAGTGCGCATGTGCACAGAAATGCGCGATCACGCACAAGCATGGTGAAGATTGGCGCCAGACGGACTATTTAAAAGGTGCCTCTGCCTGTGTTGAGTGCTGACTGGTCTTCAGCTGTTCCCCGTTTCCTGCTCGTTCCTGTGTGATTTCCTTGTTCCTGACCTGACTCTGATTACTCTCCTGCTTGATACTGGTTCCTGACTTCGGCTCTGCTCCTGACTTTGGCTTGCTTCTGATTTGGTACCTCGCTGTCTGCCCGTTGATGACCCCGACTATTCCTATGACACTGCTCCTGTCTCCCATCCCAGCTTCCTGCCTTGCTCCGGTGCACACCTGGTGACCCACCATACCAGCTCTGCATATCACTACTGATCCTGAATCGGAGGCTCATCAGTCTTCCAAAGTCTCCAACTGCAAGAGCTGCAAACAACATCTACTGGCGCTCTGGTTCCTAGACACCCTCTTTTCCACTTCCACTGGGGCCAGGGCTAGTGACACAAGTAAGGCCGACCTCGTCATTTCAGTCTCCAATCAGGTACGTGACAAGGGTGCTGTGATGGGCCCAGGTACCATTTGATAGCTGTGGGCCAATCACAGCTCAGTAGTAAAGGAAGCAAAGCTGTTGATTCATGAAAGTTTTGTTAACATTGTGATCGTGTCCATCCCGAGTACCGATGATCCACATTCCGCTGTTTCCTTGCAGCGCCCCCCTGAGTCTGTACAAACAAAATTACATACGGGTGCGTCACAGTAAAGGTACTGCGGGCGGCCGGGTCGGCAGGTGTTAACAAAGGTGGAGTTACTCTTTAAGCGTTTTTAAGCAGCAGAAGCCCAGCAGGATCCGTGTGTGTTACGGGCTGAAATTGAGTTGTAAATATGGTACTATAGAGGGATTTCATCACACAAAGCTCCAAGGAAATCATTCCCGGCATTGAAACCACCAACCCGCTCCGGAGCCGCCGCGGATGTTTGTTCAGCGTATTATTTGTGACAATAGGGCAAATGCTGCTTCTGAGTCCCGTCAAAGCCAAACACCAAGTAATCTCCTTAGAACCCGGCGAACGCTTAGCACTGTCCAAAGCCTTTCCCGGGAGGATTAGTGGAGCCCAGGAGTGACACCGCTCATCATTACAACTAGTTGGGCTTCCTGATAGCATATAGAGATCACGGGATTAAGTCCTCCGAGCCTTTCAAAGAGCATTGTTCTTCGGATTCTATATCATATACTAGGATCCCTTTGAGGGGAAACCGCTTTCGGAGTACTTTAATTCACATGCCATGGCGCTACATTGATGTGTACGTAACGCGCACGCGCAGGTATGCATTTCCTAGTGTCTTTTTTTTTATAACTCCCCCTTGATTTGTCTTTTTGCATCTCAAGACCTTTACTGCTTGTTGCTGCATGTTATGATGCATTGCAGGGTCTCCGAACATCCTGACCTAGGAAGAACTCGCCCATTGAGTTTAAACCCGTCCCCTCTCCCCTGCAGACCAGAGAGACCCGGCATTCATTATATCCGCTCTCCCCGGACCCCGCATTCACTATATCCGCTCTCCCGGACCCCGCATTCACTATATCTGCTCTCCCCGGACCCCGCATTCACTATATCCGCTCTCCCCGGACCCCGCATTCACTATATCCGCTCTCCCCGGACCCCGCATTCACTATATCCGCTCTCCCCGGACCCCGCATTCACTATATCTGCTCTCCCCGGACCCCGCATTCACTATATCCGCTCTCCCCGGACCCCGCATTCACTATATCCGCTCTCCCCGGACCCCGCATTCACTATATCCTCTCTCCCCGGATCCCGCATTCACTATATCCGCTCTCTCCGGACCCCGCATTCACTATATCCGCTCTCCCCGGACCCCGCATTCACTATATCCGCTCTCCCTGGACCCCACATTCACTGTATCCGCTCTCCCCGGACCCCGCATTCATTATATCCGCTCTTCCTGGACCCCGCATTCACTATATCCGCTCTTCCCGGACCCCGCATTCACTATATCCTCTCTCCCCGGACCCCGCATTCACTATATCCTCTCTCCCCGGATCCCGCATTCACTATATCCGCTCTCCCTGGACCCCGCATTCCCTATATCCGCTCTTCCCGGACCCCGTATTCACTATATCCGCTCTTCCCGGACCCCCCATTCACTATATCCTCTCTCCCCGGACCCCGCATTCACTATATCCGCTCTCCCCGCACCCCGCATTCACTACATCCACTCTTCCCGGACCCCGCATTCACTATATCCTCTCTCCCCGGACCCCGCATTCACTATATCCGCCCTTCCCGGACCCCGCATTCACTATATCCGCTCTCCCCGGACCCCGCATTCACTATATCCCGCTCTCCCCGGACCCCGCATTCACTATATCCGCTCTCCCCGGACCCCGCATTCACTATATCCGCTCTCCCCGGACCCCGCATTCACTATATCCTCTCTCCCCGGACCCCGCATTCACTATATCCCGCTCTTCCCGGACCCCGCATTCACTATATCCGCTCTCCCCGGACCCCGCATTCACTATATCCACTCTCCCCGGACCCCGCACTCACTATATCCGCTCTCCCGGACCCCGCATTCACTATATCCGCTCTCCCCGGACCCCGCATTCACTATATCCGCTCAGAGGTGGATAGGGAGTGGAGGCAAGGAACTGTGCTTGGAGGTGGGTAGAGGTTGGAGACAAGGGATGGCACTCGGAGGTGGGTAGGGGGTGGAGACAAGGGATGTGCTCAGAGGAAGATAGAGGGCAGAGACAAGGGACATGCTCGAAGGAGGGTAGGGGGTGGAGACAAGGAAGTGTGCTTGGAGGTGGGTAGAGGTTGGAGACAAGGGATGGCACTCGGAGGTGGGTAGGGGGTGGAGAGAAGGGATGGTGCTCGGAGGGGGTGGAGACAAAGGACTGTGCTTGGGGGTGGGTAGAGGGTGGAGACAAGGGACTGTGCTTGGAGGTGGGTAGAGGTTGGAGACAAGGGATGGCACTCGGAGGTGGGTAGGGGGTGGAGAGAAGGGATGGTGCTCGGAGGGGGTGGAGACAAAGGACTGTGCTTGGGGGTGGGTAGAGGGTGGAGACAAGGGACTGTGCTTGGGGGGGTGGGTAGGGGGGTGGAAGCAAGGGACGGTGCTTGGAGGTGGGTAGAGGTTGGAGACTAGGGATATCACTCAGAGGTCGGTGGGGGGTGGAGAGAAGGGGTGGTGCTCGGAGGTGGGTAGGGGGTGGAGACAAGGGTTGTGCTCAGAGGAGGGTAGGGGGCAGAGACAAGGGACATGCTCGAAGGAGGGTAGGGGGTGGAGGCAAGGGACTGTGCTTGGAGGTGGGTAGAGGTTGGAGACAAGGGATGGCACTCGGAGGTGGGTAGGGGGTGGAGAAAAGGGACGGTGCTTGGAGGTGGGTAGAGGTTGAAGACAAGGGATGGCACTCGGAGGTGGGTAGGGGGTGGAGAGAAGGGATGGTTCTCGGAGGAGGGTAGGGGGTGGAGACAAGGGACATGCTCGGAGGAGGGTAGGGAGTGGAGAAAAAAAAAAAAGCCCTTATGATAACCCTGTATGGAAAGACTGAGGAGAGATAACCGCCATAGTTAGGAGATAGGCGGATGGGCTCACCTATCCTTCACTGGCCTTGTATATAGGCTTGATACCTGCCGCCCAATGTTTTCTCAGCACCCAGTTTTTGGCCCTGGGGTGAAATGCCAGCCCTTTGGTGTACCTCTTGCCTCAGGGGGGGGGGGGGGAAGAAAGGTGTGTGTGTGTGTGTGTGGGGGGGGGGGAGGTACAACATGTGAATGTGAAATGAAAAAAGAAAAAATGTCGGCAGCAGTAGAGAGGTTAAGCGGCGCCCATCAACCCAATCCAAGGGAGTGGATGGTGTTTATGAGGCTCAGATGATGTTGGGTCTGACAATTGGAAGTCACTGGACTATTAAAAATAACACACATACACAACAAGATTAATAGGATTTTGCTAAACTGTGTTTTTCTGCAATCCTCCTCAGTTCATTTCATGCTTTTCAAATAGCTCATAATGGATTTCAAGTTGAATTTCTCCCGTGTACAATAAGTTTCCATTTCGGTGGCTTCTTGCAGTTCATTTCCAAAATGCTGCTGCACGGTACCTTTTGTCTCGGGGCTCCTCGCTGTCGCTGAATTGATTGGACCGACTTTCCGTTGCTCATCCCCGCTTTTCTGGCAATTTTGTTTTTTTTTGTTGTAAAAGAAACTCTGAGCTGAGAGACAAAAAAAGAAACTGCCTTTGCTGGTCTCTCCCTCTGAAAAAGCCACCCGCCTGGCTTCAGGGCTCCAATGATCTGCATTGTTATGGACAGTTTGAAAAAAAAATTGGACTGTTTCCCCCATCTGTCAGAGTCCATGGAGAGGAGAAACTACCCGAGAAAGTATGGCTGTCAGTGCATTGTGACTGGACCCCACCAGTCCCGGACCCCGCCAGTCCTGGACCCCGTCAGTGCCGGACCCCACCAGTCCCGGACACCTCCAGTCCCGGACCCCGCCAGTCCCGGACGCCATAAGTGCCGGACCCCACCAGTCCTGGACCCCACCAGTCCCGGACCCCTCCAGTGCCGGACCCCACCAGTGCTGGACCCCACCAGTCCCGGACCCCGCCAGTCCTGGACCCCGTCAGTGCCGGACCCCACCAGTCCCGGACACCTCCAGTGCCGGATCCCACCAGTCCCGGACCCCACAAGTGCCGGACGCCGCCAGTCCCGGACCCCGCCAGTCCCAGACCCCACCATTGCCAGACCCCACCAGTCCTGGACCCGCCAGTGCTGGACCTCACAAGTCCCGGACCCCACCAGTACTGGACCCAGGGGCAGACTGATCATTTGGAAACTCGGGCACTGTCCGAGGGCCTGGGGTCAGTAGGGGGCCCCATGAGATGCCCCTGGTACCTTTTTCATAGGCTTTTTTGAGTTTGGGCAAGGACACAGGGGCTCCATAATCCCCTATTGCCCAGGGGCCTCATGAGTTGTCAGTCTGCCCCTGGCTGGACCCCACTAGTCCCAGACCCAAGTGCCAGACCCCACCAGTGCCCAACTCTGCTCTCTGCATGAAGTACTGCTTCCCCCTCCTGCCTTTCCCCCCTTCTCTATCTCTCCCCCCCTTCCTCTCTCCCCACCATGCCCCCTCTTTCCATCAATCCTCCTTTCTCCCTCTCTCCTCATCTCCCTCACTCTGTCTGTACCTCCCCTCCACCCCCTTCCATCTACCCCCTCTCTCCTCATCTCCCTCTCTCTCTTTCCCTTCTTCCGCCACTCCCCCCCTCCTTCCATATACCCCCCTCTCTGCTTACTTCGGTCTCGCTCTCCCCCCCCCCCCCCCATTCTTCTGTCTACTCCCTGTCTCCCACCTTCCTTCTCTTCTCTCCCTCCCCCCCCCCCCCCCCCCCACTCTCTCCTCTTCTATCTACCCCCTCTGTCCCCACTTCCCTCTCTGTCACCCTTCCTTCTCTCTCCCCCCTCATCTCCTCCTTCTTCCATCTACCCCCACTCTCCCCACCCCCCCTTTTCTTCTCACCTTCCTCCCTCTCTCTAGCCCCCCACTCTCCTCCCTGCATCTACCCCTTACTCTCCACCTTCCCCTCTCTCCCCTCCCACTCCCCCCTTCTGTCTACCCCCTCTCTCTCCCCCTTCTCTTCCATCTATCCCCTTCTCTCTTCACCCCCCTCCCTCTCCCTCTATTCCCCTCCAACTCCCCTCCTCCATCTACCCCTCACTCCCCATCTCCCTCTCTCTCCCCTCACCCCACACTCCCTCCCCTTCTGTCTATCCCCTCCCTCCCCTCTCTCTCCCCCCCACTTCTATATGCCCTCTCTCTCCCCCCACTTCTATATGCCCTCTCTCTCCCCACCTCCCTCTCTCTCTCCTTCCCCTCCCCCCCCCCTTCTGTCTACTCCTTCTTTAGCCACCCCTCCCTCTCCCCCCCACCCCACTTCCCCCTCCTCCATTTAAACCCTCTCTTCTCTCCCCACCTTCCTCCCTCCCCCTTTACTCCCCACCACTCCCCCCCACTCCATCTACCCCCTTCTCTTCTAACTCCCCCCCCCACTCCCACCTGTTCTGTCTACCCCCCTCTTTCCCCATGTACCTCCCCCCCACCCTACTCAGCCACTGTGTTCAGTATACCCCTTTCCCCTCCCCCTTCCCTCCCTCCTTTCCCTGTCTCCTCTCTCTCTCTCTCTCTCTCTTCCCTCCCCCTCTCTTCCTTCTCCCTCTCTCGCTCATCTCTCTCTCTTTCTCTTTCTCCCTCTCCCTCCCTCATCCTCTCTTTCTCCCCCCCCCCCTCTCTCTCCTCTCTCTCTCTCCCCAACTGCTGCACTCTATATGCCGAGTTGTGATGTTACTTATCCCTCATTGCTGCACTCTGTACATTATATCTACATCACACAGCGGTGACCAATATGTTCATTGCCTCAGCAGTTGCTGGTATTAGTGATGTGAGGATCAGTCAGACAAGATGATATCATTCTGCCTGTAGAAATGCAAATGTCATTGAACACATTATTATTATTATTGTTGTTGTTGTTGTTATTATTATTACTATTATTATTGTTGTTATTATTATTATTATTGTTGTTGTTATTATTATTATTACTAATATTATTATTATTGTTATTATTATTATTATTATTGTTGTTGTTGTTATTATTATTACTACTAATATTATTATTGTTGTTATTATTATTATTATTATTGTTGTTGTTGTTATTATTATTATTACTAATATTATTATTATTGTTATTATTATTATTATTATTGTTGTTGTTATTATTATTATTACTAATATTATTATTATTGTTATTATTATTATTATTATTATTGTTGTTGTTGTTATTATTATTACTACTAATATTATTATTGTTGTTATTAT